CAACACTTGCACAAGTGAGTATACTCCCACAGGTGTGTGTGATGTCATTGATTAATCTCTCTCTCTCTCTCTCTCTCTCTCTCTGTTCTGTCTCCCTCACACACACACACACACACACACACACACACACACTATATATATATACATATACATCATATACATGCACATATACATGTACATATACATATCTTTAATTTTTTTAAATTATGATGATAATCTATCACATCAATATCCATTCAGTGTACTGAAATAACAAACGCCTCTCAACACACCTGGAGCAGAGGGAAGCTTCTCACCCTAATAAATGTCTACCTAGACCTGTAGCTGACTCCACACTCACTGCTGGTTCTTGTAGACTGAGACTAGCAGACCAAGGATGTTCCCTCTCACCCCTGCAGTACCACATCGGTGGAAGTCCTGGCTGACTCCTTAGCCTAGACAAGAAAACAAAAAGTGTACTAGTAGGAAGAAGCTAAGTTGCATTTAAGAGCAACATGATTGTCTTTTACAGAAAATCACAAAGAATCAACAATGATACAACAACAACACTCTTACAGTTGATTTGTGATCATAGAAAGGTTGCAGAATATGAAGTTATGATGTTATGATAGCCTTCTAAGATGTCACAAATGAACAGAAAGTTAATGATACTTTATCATTTATAGTACCACTAAAAATAATGTACATAGGACTTAACCATAGGAAAAGTGGATGATACCATGAGAAAAGCCACAAATTTCTGTGAGAGGGAAAAAGTAAGCCAATGGAGAGATCTCTGTGTTCAGGTGGGAGAGTCAATCAACACTGTCAGCCTTCAAGCTCCTCCCCAGCTGACCTCTTCATTCAACACAATTTCAATCAAAATCTCATCAAGTTCTTTGATGGCTATTGACAGAGTGGTTCTAAAGTTTATACGGAGAGACAAAACAGCCAGATGAATTCATACAACACTGAAGAATAAAGCCAGAGGTCTCACGTTACCTGACTTTGAGATTTACCACAGGGCTACAGTCACCAATATGCCACAGGACTGGTGATATAATAGAAAATAAATCAATGGGACAGAAATAAATCCACACAAACTGCCTTTAGAAAAGCAGCAGAGGCAATTCAAAGGAGATTTCTCAGCAAATGGATTTGTAACAACTGGGCGAACACACAATAAGAAAATGGATCCAAACATAGATCTCAAGCTTTTCACAGAAATTAATGTGAAGTGAGTCACAGACATAAGTGTATCTACCGCTTAACATTCAGACTACACAGCGCTGTGTGCACACCGTGGGTTTTAAAAGACAGAGAACATATGAAACTGGGAGGAGAGAGTGGTGATAGGGCTGGGAGGGTGGATAATTGCAAGGTAGGGAATGGGATGTGGGCATGATCGAATGATGTACAAGTATGAAATCCTCAGTCAATAAAGAAATGACTTCTAGAAGATAAAATGGAAAACATAGGTGACTGTATTTTGTATTAACTTGATAGACACACATCAGAAGTACACACCACAAACAAAACAACTGATAGATTAGATTTCATGAAAATGAAATCTTCCACTCTATGAGAGATGCTGTTGAACAAATGTCAAGTCACAGATTGGAAGAAATTATCAGCAAGAATATTTATCTAAAAGAGGACTTGTATGCTGAGAGTTCTTAAAAGTCACCTACAAGTTCCACACAAGTTCTTTACAGAAGCAATGAGTGGTTGAAAGTGAATTTTGAAAGCAATTACATTCATAATAGTCTCAAAAAAGAGAGAATTAAGAATGAGGATGATGTTAGGACTGTAGAACGAAGTTAGCAAACATAGCTTAAAATAAAATAAAGGGGACTCGAGGGAAGGAAAATACACCCTAGGTTCATGGGTCAGAGGACAATTTTGTTAAGACGTAAATTCATCCTACTGCCATCTACAGACTCAAATCCCAGTGATATATTCACCAGAAACAGATGGCCACATCCTAAAATACACTTAAAATATCAATGAACCCTAACTAGTACCTATAATCTCAAATTCCAAGATTCTGCTAATTCACAGTAACCAAAACAGTGTGGTGTTGGCACAACAGGAAACACAGACCAGTGAAGCAGGACAGAAGTCCCAGAGATAAATTCCAGCCAAATGGTTCAAAGGTTTTTAAGAAAAATGTTAAGAGTACTCAATTGTTTTTCCTCCAAGAAATAGTTCTGGGAAAACTGGATATTCTCATGCAGAAGAATAAACTTGGGCCCTTTCCCAGCACCATATGAATACTTAACTCAAAATGTATCAAAGATGTAATTTAAGATCCGGAACAACAAAACACTTAGAAGTCAACAGAGGACAAAGCTTCAAGGTGTTGGATGAATTTCTGACTATGGCTCTCAAGTCATGGGTGACAAGAAAAACCCCACAAGTTAAACTTGTTGGTAACTAAAAAGTTTTCAGCATCAAAGGCCAGAATCAGCAAAATGAAAAGGCAATCTGGGAAAAGGGAAGAAGCGCTTGCATTACATAATGAATTTATAGCCAGAACAGAGAACATCTGCAACTCCACAGAAATTAATGACTCCAGTCAAACATGGACAAAACAATTCTCCAAGGAAAGTATACAAATACTGGTAAGTCCACAGGAAATAAGCTCATCACCAGTAAACACTACAGAAATGGAAACAAATGTCATGATGGCTGGCTACTTCCCACCTACTAAGATATCTACTAGAGAAGACTGCAGCAAGTGTCTCAATGATGTGGAGGGAATGGAACCTTGTGTGTGGCTGCTGAGACTGTCAAGTAGAACAGCTCTGTGGGAAAGGAGGGTAGTTAGCTCCTCAAAATAAGCAAATACACGAATACCATAGAATTCAGCAATACCACTTCTACATATTTACTCAAAGAAATTGAAAGCAGGTGTTGATGAGACTTGTGCCCACCCATGCAGTTGAAGTATTATTTATGACTGAAGCATGAGAAGTAGCTGAGTGTTCAGTTCGTGAATGGATACGCATGCTGTGTCGTACACTGAGTGTGGGAGCTTACAAGGCCTACAAGAAAAGGAGCAATTACGATACGGGCAACAACACAGAAGCTCCCTGAGGGCATTTTACTAAGTTAAATAACACAGTTGAAGAAAATTTAAATAAATTATATGTCATCTTACTTGCGGTAAGAAAGTTGAAATCACAGAAGGAGTAAGTAACAGTGGTCGCTATTGGAGAATAGGCAATGGCTGAGATCAGGGAGTAGGTGGGGATGGGGATGGTTTATTGAACATAGAATTTGGTTGACAAAATAGAGCCACACAGGCTGATTGCAAGTCCTTGTGAGCTGCATACTTCATGGTTAGGAATATATTTCGTGGTATACATATTTTGCCACAAGAAAGCATGACTTAATTTTCAAAAAGTAGTGAGTGAGCTATTAATATATAAATGCTGTCATAGAGGAACCTAACTTGTAATGTTGCTTAGTGAAATGAGCCAGCCTGGAAGTGCTGTAATACATGATTCCAGCGGTGAGGAAGTGTGAGTGGTGAGAGGAGACAGATGAGGGCAGCAATTGGCAACCTGGCTTTCCTTCACATCTTCCAGTGACCTCTCCTCTATGGAGTGTATTGAAGTGCCTTGGAAGCTATTAGCAAACAGACCCAAACTTCCAGAATCTTCATGAAATCATCTTCAAAGGATTTCACTTGGGAAGAACCGCCTACTGCAGGATCAATTCCACCGCAAGTTTCCCTCCATTGCAGGCCCTTCCCAATGCAGGACAGCCCCACGAAAGATCTCTTCTCTATAAGATCATCCCCTCCCAGTGCAGATCTCACCTGCTGGATACTATCACCCATTGCCGGATCCTCCGCTGCAGGATTCCCACAACTGAAGGACCACGTCCCCACCCACTGCAAGATCTTGAACTCACTACAGGATCCTCTTCACTGCAAGATTCCACACACTGCAGAATCAACTCCACTGTGGAATCCTTCCACTATATGATCTCCCTCACCACAGGATCCCACCCACTTAAAATCATATCAACTACAGAATCAGTGTGCACTCTACCCAGTACGTAAGAATCTACGACTTTGAGATTTTTCAGACAACAAGGTAAACATAATGATGCAATTCTATAAGCCCAGCTACCTCGAAAATAAAGACAGTAAGATCATAAGCCCAAGGCCAGCCTGTTCTACAAAATTACTTCAAGGCTTGTTGGGAAACTAAGTGAGCCCTATCTCAAAAGAGAAATGGAAGAAAAATGAGAGAGAGAGAGAGAGAGAGAGAGAGAGAGAGAGAGAGAGAGACAGAGAGAGAGACAGAGAGAGAGACAGAGAGAGAGACAGAGAGAGAGAGAAGGAGTGCTGGTCATGCAGTTGTAGTAGTGTGCTAATGCCTAGCATGTGGTAGTGTACATGCCTAGCTTGTGGTAATGTACATGTCTAGCATGTACAAGGCTAGACCTAACATGTATAACACAGTAACAGAAGGAAGAGAAGAATAAGCAACAGAAAGAGATGGCTGGCAAACTCTGAGGAGTGACCTTGTCATTTCTTCAGGGTTATTTGGAGACAAACTGAGTTCTGAGGAGCCTATCTGCTTTAGAATAGCAGTGGCCTATTGTAATAAAGGCCAGTGGCAGACTTAACGTTATCTCCAACTTCCTGACACCCTCCAAGAGGCAGACCCTGGCCTCTCTTTACTCCACTGTGACTTCTAGTTTCCTTTCTTTTTGCTGTAACGATGTTTTTCCATTTCAAAGAAATAAGAACTCCTATCCAGTGAGGTCACTTCTCTCATATTGCTAGCCTCAGCTGAATATCTTTCCTCCTCTGTTTCACAGTCTAAACTGGCAGTAGACAGAAACCATACAGCTTCCTTCTGGCTGAGAGGAAATCACCCCTGGGGTCCTGATGCCTACTCAGCACAGTCCTGAGGATCTTACTTCATCCTTCCTTCTGTAGGATTCTGCCAGGCTTCATGCTGCTTATAAAAGTCAGAAGGAACTTCCAGAGGAGCAGAGACACTGGCTCCTGATTCCTCCAGCTTTCATTTCGAAGCCTTTGACCTCAACATGAAGATCTCCACACTTGTAGGCCTCCTGCTCATAGCTACCACCATTAGCCCACAGGTGTTGGCTGGACCAGGTAAGGCTTCTTCTCCTTTCCCAATCTCTCAGCACATTCCAGAGCTGTGGCATGGTCTGCAGTTTTGAAGATAGAGAGACTCAGGTTATGAGAGGAATTAAAAAGAGTCATTGTGTCAGCGACATAGTGAGCCAGAACCAAACACTCAGAGCACTGAGGCCAGGCCCTGTGAAGTCTCATGACAACAGCTCTAGGACAAGATGCTGAATGCAGCTGCTATAGATAATCCCCTCTCCTTTTTTGGAGAGGTGACCCAGAAGTGGCTCTGTGGTGAGAAGGACATCTCAGCCATAGAAGAGTGACAGATATAATGGCTTGAAGAAGAATTTGGGGGTCTTGGTCCATAGTGCATTCAAGAACAGCATCCACATGTTTATACTTGAGAGGCTTCTTAAACTCTAAGCCCACAGCAGCAAGGTGGTAGACAGCAAGTTCTTAGAATGTCTTTGTCTGTGTCAGAAATTGATGAGATTTTTCCATACATAGCTAACAGCCAGGACATATTCTGTCATATTCTGTGACCAGACATACATAGCTAACAGCCAGGACATATTCTGTCATATTCTGTGACCAGACATACATAGCTAACAGCCAGGACATATTCTGTCATATTCTGTGACCAGACATACATGGCTAACAGCCAGGACATATTCTGTCATATCCTGTGACCAGACATACATAGCTAACAGCCAGGACATATTCTGTCATATTCTGTGACCAGGCTCTAGATACAGACAGAAGTTGGGAGCCATAACTCTTGGGTTATACAATCCAGCATTCTTCCTTCCCTTGTGAGAGCACCCTGAAATGTCTCCTAACTGTCTCTTTCTTTGCAAAATTATTTTCAGATGCAGTGTTCACCCCAGTCACCTGCTGTTATAATGTCGTTAAGCAGAAGATTCACATCCGGAGGCTGAAGAGCTACAGGAGAATCACAAGCAGCCAGTGTCCCCGGGAAGCTGTGATGTAAGTTGGCCATGCCCACCACTCCATACTAGTTTCCTGTCTGAGGAGCAAGTGAGAGAAGTCTGGACTCATGGTCTTAAGTCAAACAGATACAGCATCTTCCAGATCTGATCCTCTCCTCACCTAGGAAAACTAAGCCCACTGGAGAATCCATGCTTTCCCATCAGTTGGGAGAGATTGCATTCATTTAGTCAGGAGACTGGAGACATTCAGCTAGGACAGCAAGAACAGAGCTTCTTCCTGAGTCTTTCTTTAACCTTTCCCAATCTTCTCTCCTGCCTCTTCATCAGTGGAGGAGTAGAAGAGGCCTAGGACCAATAGGCCATGCTCTGAATAGAATGCTCAGAGCACCTTGTCTAACCGTGTCTTCTCCCCCACAGCTTCAGGAGCATACTGGATAAGGAGATCTGTGCTGACCCTCAGGAGAAGTGGGTTAAAGACTCCATAAACCACTTGGATCAGAAGTCTCGAACACAGCATCCTTGAACCTTCATGTCTAGGCTGAGAGTTCCAGAAAAATCTTATGCATTTCCTCCTGACATTCCCATGGGCAGTGTGACAGTTATTTATCAAGATACCTAAAGAGTGATGCTTTTAATAATTTTAAGCACAAACTCGCTTAAATAATATTTAATGATATTTAAGTTATATTTGGGCCAATTAAACTGAATTTAATTTACAAACTGTGGATTTATTTTTTTATTTTTCTATTGAATATTTTATTTACATTTCAGATGTAATCCCCTTTCCCTCCCACCCAGGAACCCCCTATCCCATCCTCCCTCCTCCTGCTTCTATGAGGATATGCCCCCACCTACCTTCCCACTCTCAGCTCCCCACCCACAATTTCCCCCACACTGGGGTGTCCAGCCTTCACTGGACCAAGGACTTCCTCACCTCCCTATGCCTGACACCATTATCCTCTCCTACAGCTGGAGCCATGGGCCCCTCCCTATGTGCTCCCAGGCTGGTGGTTTAGACACTGGGAGCTCTGGTTGGTTGGTATTGTTGCTCTCCTCATGGGACCACAAACCCTTTCAGCTCCTTCAGTTTTCTCTCTCACTCCTTCATTGGGATCCCCATGATCAGCTCAATGGTTAGCTGTGAGCATCTTCCTCTGTATATTTCAGACTCTGGCAGACCTCTAAGGAGACAGCTATATCAGGCTCCTGTCAGCATGCACTTCATGGCATCCACATCAGTGTCTACATTTGGTGAATGCACAAGGGATAGATACCCAGGTGGAGCAGTCTCTGTACAGCCCCTCCTTCAGTTTCTGTCCCATGCTTTGTCTCCATATTTTCTCCCATGAGTATTTTGTTACCCCTTCTAAGAAAACCCAAAGCACCCACACTTTGGTCTTCCTTGTTCATAAACTTCATGTGATCTGTGAGTTGTATCTTGGATATTGGAAGCTTTTGGGCTAATATCCAATTATCAGTGAGTACATAGCATGTGTGTTCTTTTGTGATTGGGTTACCTAACTCAGGATGATATTTTCCAGTTCCATCCATTTACCTAAGAATTTATCGAATTCATTGTTTTTAATAGCTGAGTAATATCCCATTGTGTAAATGTACACATTTTCTGTGTCCATTCCTCTGTTGAAGGACATCTGGGTTCTTTCCAGCTTGAACATAGTGGAGCATGTGTCCTTGTTATATGTTGGAGCATCTTCTGGGTATATGCCCAGGAATGGTATAGCTAGGTCCTCAGATAATGCTATGTCCAATTTTCTGAGGAACTGCCAGACTGATTTCCAGAGTAGTTGTACCAGCTTGCAATCCTACCAACAATGGAGGAGTGTTCCTCTTTCTCCACATCCTTGCCAGCATCTACTATCACCTGAGTTTTTGATCTTGGCCATTCTGACTGTTGTGAGGTGGAGTCTCAGGGTTGTTTTGATTTGCATTTCCCTGATTACTAAGGATATTGAACATTTCTTTAGGTGCTTCTCTGCCATTTGAGTTTCCTCAGTTGAGAATTCTTTGTTTAGCTCTGTACCCCATTTTAATAGGGTTATTTGGTTGTCTGGAGTCTAATTTCTTGAGTTCTTTGTATATATTGGATATTAGGCCTCTATCAGATGTAGGATTGGTAAAAACCTTTTCCCAATCTGTTGGTTGCCATTTTGTCCTATTTAACATTGTCCTTTGCCTTACAGAAGCTTTGCAATTTTATGAGGTCCCATTTTTCAATTCTTGATTTTAGAGCATAAGCCATTGGTGTTCTGTTCATGAACTTTTCCTCTGTGCCTAGGTATTCAAGGGTCTTCCCCACCTTCTTTTCTATTAGTTTCTGTTTATCTGGTTTTACGTGAAGGTCCTTTATCCACTTGGACTTGAACTTTGTACAAGGAGATAAGATTGGATCGATTTGCATTCTTCTATATGCTGACCTCCAATTGAACCAGCACCATTTGTTGAAAATGCTGTCCTTTTCCACTGGATGGCTTTAGGTCCTTTGTTAAAGATCAAGTGAACATAGGTGTGTGGGTTCATTTCTGGGTCTTCAATTCTATTCCATTGATCTTCCTGCCTGGCTCTGTACCAAAGCCATGCAGTTTTTATCACTATGGCTCTGTAGTACAGCTTGAGGTCAGGGATGGTGATTCCTTCAGAAGTTCTTTTATTATTGAGAATAGTACTAGCTATCCTGAGTTTTTTGTTATTCCAAATCAATTTGCAAATTGCTCTTTCTATCTCTATGAAGAATTGATTTGAAATTTTGATGGAAATTGCATTGAATCTGTAGATTGCTTTTGGCAAGTTGGCCATTTTTACTATATTAACCCTGCCAATCCACAAGCATGGGAGATCTTTCCATCTTCTGAGATCTTCTTCAATTTCTTTCTTCAGAGACTTGAAGTTCTTGTCATACAGATCTTGCATTTGCTTGATTATATTCATACAAGATATTTTGTATTATTTGTGACTATTGTGAAGGGTGTCATTTCTCTAATTTCTTTCTAAGCCTGTTTATCCTTCAAGTAGAGGAAGGTTACTGATTTGTTTGAGTTGATTTTATATCCAGCCACTTTGCTAAAGTTGTTTATCAGGATTAGGAGTTCTCTGGTGGAAGACAAACTGTGTATTTATTTTTTATAAAAACTCCTTTAAATTCCTGGCAAAATGTCTGAGTTCTCACTCGCACCTGCCCGTGGGTTAGTAAGATCCATCCATGGTGTATTAGTATGATACCAGCTTTTGTATTCTTAGAGAATCAGTGTTTCTTCTTGTGGAGTATGTACCTCCTACTGCTGTGTTCAGTGTTATTATATGGCTATGGTGTTTTCAAAGAAAAATACATGTGTATTCTCTAGAGTATATTACTCTAATTTTGGGTCATGTTAAGCTGGAAGGGAAAAGCCAGCAGCAATGGGTAACAGTGTGAAGGACCATCTTGCTGGAATGTCTTTTGGCTGGGTGGGACCTGCTGAGGTTCAGAGAGAATGTGGCAGGACATGACAGGCCCTGCTATCCCTCTGGCTCCAGTCATTCCACTACCTGCCCATAGTCATGAGCTTCTCCGGGTCCATTTCTTTTCTCATTTCCATCTTTCTTTTCCAGAGTCCCTTTAATGGCCTCTCACAATGGTCTAGAGGCTTTTCTCTCTAACCCCAGGGTTTTCCCATGAAATGACTTCTGAAGCCCAGAATAGTAACATGTTAGGGGTGAAACCAGACTAACAAAAAACACTAGAAATCTATGTGCTGAACCTATTTGGGATTTTTATGAGGATGGCTCTCTAACACGTCTTCTATGGAAGACATAGGCTGTGGATGCTCAATGCTCTTTTAAGATGTCCAGCAACATGGGAAGGTACTGAGTCAGAGAAAAGAATCTAGCCAGCTGCATGCCCCAAATCTGGAGGAACTGTCTGTAGGCATTAGAAATAAAAGGTTGCAGCCTTGTTGTAGGGACTCCAAACTTCAGGATAGAAAAGCAGCAAGAACACAATAAATGGACTCAAACTGTAAGGGTAGGAACACACTGAGAGGTAGTAACAGAAAGAGTTGCTAAGTCTGAGCACAGGATAGCATGAGGAAGAGAGAGCCTAGGAGCAACCACTGCAGTGGTACAAGAAGACCTCAGCAATCTAAGCTGTGTGCTAGCAAGGGTGAAGTCATAAACAAAAAGCTAGACAGAGTAACGCTGTGTGGAATGTTGTAGAGGGGACACAAAGGACACTGGACTATGAACTATGGCTCCTCAGAGACTCACATAGAAATTTAAGGAGCTGGCAGTTCTTCAATGTAGAACTAATTTACTTGTATTATGGTCTGAATGCCTGTGCTCCTTCAAGATTCATATTGGATCTTGTCCTTTTGTGCTGTGTACGTATTGTATGATGAAAGCAAGGTGACTTGCTTTACAAGTCTAGATAGAAGGCTCAAACAACCCAGCATGGCCACTAGTGAGGCAACCTAGCTGCATCACAGCCCAGCGGAAAATCAGAAAAGATGCTGTATACCAAAGGGAGTGTCAGGACCAACCTTGCTTATACACTGAAAGCCTAAATCAGCTGTAGGCCTTAGTCAGCCATTCATGCCTGCTAACACAAGGTCTTGGTCTCTGTGGGAAAACACTGACCCTAGAACAGATAGCTATAGACCTTGTAGGCAAACATCCTTAGTGAAAATTTACCAGCCTGAATAAGAACAAGTAGTCATAGACCTTGTGGATAAATAGCCCTGGTGAAAAGTGCCAACTTAAATAAATACAAATGAATCATAGACAAGAGTCATAAGTGACCTGTTCCCTGATTCTTCATCCAGTTGATACCCTGTTCTGGAAGATATCTGTACTCCCCCTGAGAACACCTACGCTCCTACGTCATTCCCTTCCCCACATCCTGCCTTTATGTGTATATAACCCCTCTGTGAAAAAGTTAAAATCGGTGGTTTGATCAGACTATAGACAAACTGCCCGTTCTTTGTGTTTCCTGTCCTCCAGTTCTCTCTTCCAAGTCTTCTGATCCCAGCTCAGTGCCCCGTGGGACTGGGGCAAGGGAGTAGGCACACCGAATGACCATGATCATTCATCGCTATACCTTCAAACCACTCCCAGCACTGATCTATTCATAAGGGTGAGGCTCCCAACACCAAAGTTTGCATGAACTCAGCCCTAGTACATAAAAGCCCTCCACCATCGCACCATCATCAACCATGCTAGAGACCATGCTTCCAGCATGTATCCATTGAGGAACAGTCACATACAAACCATATCATGCACAGTGATGGGACTTAGAGGCAGGACTCAGTCAAGAGGTGTCTGTTTTCATAAGTGATATTAATGTTAATAACATAGCTTGAGGGTATTGTTTTGCCCTCTAGCTGTGACAGAACATACAGATGGTGTACAGATCAAGCCCTGGCCAGACATCAAGTCTACCGGTACCTTGATCTTCACCATATCCAAATCCAGAATTTGAGTAACTAATCTCTCTTTTTTAAAATTATTATGTCTAAGGTATTATGTTTTTGTAATAGGAATAGACTGGTATAATTGTTATGTTGTGGTATTAAATGTTCCTCCTAAGCTCATGTGCTTGAACATTTGATCCCCAGCCAGTGGCATATTTGAGGGAGATGGTGCAACCATTATGGACAACAGAAAAATCTTTGGAGAGTGACATGGAACAGGTACTTGAAGGTTATAGTCCACCTTGCTTCCTGT